GATTTGTTTATATAGAGAGACGAAACTTTCCTTTTTTCTTGAAAAAAATTGTTCCTTTTTTCTTCAAATTTTTTGTAATTAGGTTTTCCATTTCCCGTTAGGAAAGGCCATATGGAATTGGAATGAGAGTGTTTTATACCATTTTTTTTGGAGATTTCATTTGGGCTTAGATAATTTAAAAAGGGGACATAATTGTCAAAAAAAAAATAAGTAAAGGGAAATTTATGTCCATATCTGTTTTATTCTTCGGTTTAGTAAAGTAAAGGGACACTTCGATAACTACCTTCTCGAGCATCCATCTCCGAATTGGCATTAAAGAAAGCCCTACCACGACTGTCCCGAAGAACGCAAGAAGCACCCGAAAGAGCAGGAAAATCTCGCTCAAACATACCAATTGTTACATTTGAGAAAGTGCTAAATCACCGAGGTTGTTCATATATACAACAGCTTCTTCATATATACATCGAGGAGTGAATACAAATTCTATCCAAAGGAGAGGTCGAACCATGGATTCCTATTTTCGATTGCTTATATCCCCAAAAAAAAGAGGGTAGGGTAATGGTCCAATCGTTTATCGAATCGGTTATTTTGTTTCGGTTTAAAATTGGAACAGATCCGTTCACTGATTGAGCATCCCTAAATCTGACTGTACTTAATATTCATAAAGCTGGTAAAAGGGTGTGACACTTTTACAATCTTAAATCCCTCAAGCGGTATCGATGGCACGTTCCATGACTAGTGCCTTTTAAGTTTGTATGATTTTTCAAGAAGATTTGCTGACATTCCATAAGAAACAAACTGATCTTGAACCATAAAAGTCCTTGTTAGATGATTGAAGAAGAAAGGGGGATTAATTATACGAAAAATGAACTTCATTCTGTCTTAAATTCAAAATCAATGAGTTCCGAAGAACAAACATCTGCTTAGTATACTATATAATATTGAAACTTCACAAAATGAGGCAGAACTATCCAACCAAACCGAACCCAACCACCAGCTTTAAGATAAGAAAGAATAGAGTTGTCTCATCACCTTATCTATGAGGGTGACGGGGACCAATGCATCTTTAACAAACAATGCAGCAAACTCGATCAAATTTAAGGCTTCACTAATCCATATCAGTCATCGACATCTCGCCTGATTGTGTCTCTGTTTCACTCCTCACTCTTCGGTAGAACAGAACATATGCCGCCGAGTTTTTGATTTCAGATTCAGTTACAGATGAAACATGACTGTCGTCAAAATGATACCATTTGTTGTCATCAATCAACTGCATATGATCAGATAAAAGATTTCCATCAGAAGCACAATGGTACAACTATCTTGTGGGCAGAGAGTCTAGTCCATTATACAATGATAAATATTATGAAGCATTTATGGATATGCACAAGTCACCAACCTTAGCGTAGGCAGTGTAGTGACCACCACCAAGTCCACCGTAATGATTGCTAACAGCATACAGTTCATATAGATATAACTGGCCATTCTCGTTTTTCACGTACTTGCTCAAGTCTAGATCGTGAATTGGGAAATTCACAAACGTATCAATCTTGTTCTTGAGAAATCTGCTGTAAGTGAACCGTTTTAAATGGAACACAAGAATATCAGGCAACTTCCACAGGTCTAGCTTTTTGTTCGCTTGTCTGTGTTCTTTGCATCCCGGACAAAACCTGGTTCAGAATGGCGACAAAGATGGTCAAAGCTTAAATAGTCAAATGAATAGATCAGCTTCTGCGATCACAAGTTAAAAGGGTCAAGTACTATACCACATGTCATCTGGTCCCAGAGGTTCTTCTGCTAAAAAGGCCTCCAAACACGAAAACAGAGATATCGCTTCTTGCCTTGTCTTCTTTGCAGAGAAACTTGTTTTATGAACCTCTGGAAGGTCACTCAAGTAGCTGGAATCATATTTTTCATGCTCCCCCTCATTCCACTCGACTAAAACCCTCGTAACGGTACCAGGGTTCACAGAAGACTCAGACTGAAGTGGTTTGAAGTTCAGAACACTTTCATCTGTCAAGAAGATCCTGAAGGATAACTCTCTATCAGATGCTTCGTCTATCTCAGTATCTGGGGATGATAAACTTCCGGATGTTTCGTCAGCTGCAGCTTCAGGAAGGTGGCCATTTTCGCTTCCATTATGATTCTTAGATGAGGCATGAACCCTGTGAAGAGGTGACAGAAATCCAGAGATAACTGAATCAATGTCAGTTCCACTTAGTGGTTCCGTGTTGACGTAAGTGACAAAAGGAGTTCCAAAAAGCTTCACGTCTCTGCCTCTAACGCTGTCGAGAACAGCCCTGTGGAATCCAACAGTTATGATCCATAAAGCTAAACCCAAGAGGAAAAAGGAAGAGTAATTCTTGAGTAACAAATCAAACAATGCCCACCTTTCTTGCCCTCCATGAAGGATTTCGAGTTTTGCCTTTCCTGATCCTTTCTGAATCTGATTGAACCGATACGCCACAATATGCTCATCATCTTTTATCACGTTCAGTGACTCCAGGGGAGTCTCAAAATATCTAAAGATCTTGTGATCATATACCTGAGAGGACAATGCCACACATCAGTCAGGGACAAAGGCGAAATGTTAAAATAAAAAAGAACACGCCAAAAGCCATACCTCTGCAAGTAAAAGGCTCTCATCATCAGTTAAGCAGCAAGCAGTACGTAATGCAGTAATAAGATCTCTACAAGATCCATGTTTAGGCACTGTTACAGTGTATGGCATCGGAAGACGACTTCCATCGCAGTAAAACACAGTAACTGTCATTGGTCGCGTTAGTGTTGATGGCAAAGGTAAAGACAGGTACATGAAGGGATCAAACGTGATTGAGATTTTTCCACAAACTGGGCAAACCAGAGTTGACTTATACTGTCCCTGAAAGAAATCATATACAGCATACCAAACGGTTAGGAAAAATCAAAGACAAGAATCTTCTAGTACTTGTATGAAAAAACTAGAACCAAATGAACATTCAACGGGAGAAGAGATAAGAAACGGTAAGAGATACTTACTTGGCAGACGTTAACTATTACAGAATCATTTCGGGCCTTATGATAGTTCCAAAGCTCTTCAGCAACTTCATCATCCGGACGGTTCTCAAAATCTTTAAGTTCAATGTAAGGTTTTCGTTTTACCTTATTCAAATCTTCGTGTAGCCCATCCAATAAGAAAGCAAGCAGTTCCTGAAACAAACAATTTAACACATACATGAAGGGACAAAAAAGTAATATTTTCCTTTTTTGTCGAA